CTATGAGTTGCATTGTCAGGCTGTCGATGAGATATGTCATACTTATAGTGGACATTCTGTTTTATTGTGTGGCGACTATAATTTGCCTGAGGCTTTGTGGCCCAATGATGATTTTGGTGTCGGGGTTATATGTCCATTGAGTTCAAATGCACTTACTGTTGCAGAATACTTTGGTTTTTTCAAATTGTATCAAACGAACACAATAACAAATAATAGGTCAGTATTTTTAGATTTGGTGTTCTCAGATGTACCGGGATTTAGTTGTCAGAAAGGCAAATGACATTATATTTGATGCCAGTAATCATCACACATCCTATGAGTGTATTTATCACCTTCAAAAAAAGTCCAATGACAAAAGAGTATTTTCTGCATCAGATTTGAATATGTCAATAGGAATTTTTTATGAAATATTTTCACACTTTCCCAAATGGTTCAGCCCAGAATTGAGACATATAACTAACTTAAAAAGATCTGCCCAAAAAAATTTTGTAAATGATCGTACTAATAAAAACTACATAGAATTTTCTCGTCTTAAAAGGTTATCAATTGCTGGTCGAACTAACTATTTAAGGTGTGTTGAATCTTGTAGAGTAAATCCCAAATTATACTGGAAATATATGAATGATCAGAAAAAATCTTACAGTTTACCTTCCAGGATGATGTACAAGGTGGCCCCAATTCGAGCCTCATCATTGGGATCTCAGAAACCGTAAGAGATACAGGGTCGGTTGAATTATGGCAAAGTTGCGCAATTTCATGACCAATAGAATGCCGTTTTGAAATTAGGAAAATTCCGAATACTTCCGGAGATATTCGGAAAAAACCGAAATTTTGTAAAATCGTTTTTATTTTCTCCTGGGCTTATTTGAAGAGTAATTTTAAAATAAATGTCACTTCATCATTGTCACTTTTTTCCCTTTAGAAGATGGTGCTACTAAATTTAAAATTCGACGTTTCGTCTTCAGGCGGCCATCATCAACTTACTTTTTTTAAATACAGACCTGGATTTTTTATTTGCGATTTTGTCATCTTGGGGCATCTTAAAACCGATAATGTTAATAATTTTTCAATACCAGAGTAAAAAAAGCAGGTCCGTATTTAAAAAAAATAAATTAATGATGATTCCAGATTCCAGAAATCTAATACCGCCATCTTGTAGAGAAGAAAAGTGACGATGGGAATGTAAAATTAGTTTTTCACAATCTTTTTAAATAAAATCAGAAAACTATATGAAAAAAACATGAATTCTTTATTTTTCTTTAATTTTTTCCTGATTCCATTTAAAGATTTTGAAAAACTAATTTCACATTCCCATTGTCACTTTTTCTTCTCTACAAAATGGCGGTATTAAATTTGAAATCCAACGTTTCGTTCCTCTGGAATCATCATCAATTTTTTTATAAATATTTTTTATGTTTATTGACCTGCTTTTTTTTACCGTGGTATTGAAAAAATAATCAACAGTATCGATTTTAGGATGCCCAAAGATGACAAAATCGCAAATAAAAAATCCAGGTCCGTATTTAAAAAAAGGAAGTTGAGGATGGCCGCCTGAAGACGAAACGTCGAATTTTAAATTTAGTAGCACCATTTTCTAAAGGGCAAGAAGTGACAAGGATGAAGTGACATTTATTTTAAAATTGCTTTTAAAATAAGCCCGGGAAAAAAAAAACGATTTTACAAAATTTCGGTTTTTTCCGAATATCTCCGGAAGTATTCGGAATCTTTCTAGTTTCAAAACGGCATTCTATTGATCATAAAATTGCGCAACTTTGCAATAATTTAACCGACCTCGTATCTCTTACGGTTACCGAGATCCCAATGATGAGGCTCGAATTTGGGCCACCCTGTACAGGTGAGAGCTGCAGGTAAAATTTGAGGTAGGTACCTGGTTTCTCTGATAGTAACTATTTTTAAAATTTTTAGAATCAAATATGTTGGAGACGGCTCAACCAAATATAGATAAACTATATATTTTTGGAATCGGGAAATTGTGCTCTTCAAAAATGTGGAACCAAATATAAGACCTCCCATTTGAAAAAAGCTGAAAGCATGCAACAGCAGACACAACCAAGGAGAAGGACCTATCGCTCAAAAATCAATGCTTCAAAAGCATTCATTACACCCGAGCTGCTTTCGGGTGACATCCTTTGAGCGCTCCCGAGTTACTCCGGCTACAGTTTGACCCGTTCGGTTTCAAGCGTTCGAGTGCAAAACGCATGGAGTATGACAGGTCACTGACAGGTGTGAAATGCTCTAGGAGCACCCGAAAGCGGCTCAAGTCACAGAAAGGAGTTAGGCCGGATTTTCATGCATCCGTTTTCCGACGAAATATGTCCGAAGGAGAAAATTATCCGATAGATTTTTTTCTGCATTGCCACTACTAGGGTTGCTAACAATTTTCAAAAATACGGGTGTGTTACTCCCCGAAACCATAACGTCCAGGAAAATAATTAGAAGCAAGAAGCAAAAGAAATTATGTTGTTGGAATTAGTCATTTAACGAAACTCCAACTAAATCGACTCGTGCGCTTGCGCACGAGATTGACTCAAGTATAAGGACGGCGAGTAGGCTACTGAAAAAAAAATAAGTATCATTCATACCAAGTACGAAACTCCCAAAAAATTGATCCTGAGGACAACTTCAGGCGAATAGAGTTTTGTGAAACTGTTATGAATAAGACAAATGAAAATGAAGATTTCCCTAGAAAAATTATCTTTACAGATGAATCAACATTTCAACTCTATGGTTGACAGAATCCTAGTCCCAGCCGTTATTGGTCTAAAGAAAATTTAGATAGGTATTTTGAACTTAGAACCCAGCGTCCTCAGAAGGTAATTAATTGTATGGGGAACATGTTATTGGGCCGTGATTCATTGATGGTAACTTGCTTGGTCCAAAATATATGAATCTTTTGCAACGGCAAACAGAAATTACAAGATAAGCTGGTCCTAGATTTAAAGGAACATGATTTGAACAAGAAGGTTGTCCAACTCATAATACGGGTTTCATTCTGGAGTATTTAAATAATAATTTTCCAAGCCGTCTTATTGTTGCGTCAAGATCTGTAGCCAACCCGCTGTCCTGATCTTACACCTAACGATCTCGGTGGTTATGGCAAGACAAAAATTTATGTTTTGAACCTGAAGAAGCTGGTTTTCAAAATTCGAGAGATTTATCTATCACTCTTGTGGTGCTAAATAAGGTTAGTAGAGCATTCTATGATCGTAGGTCATTGTTTAGCTCAAGAACGAGGACTATTTGAACATTTGCTTCACTAAATTATACGCTTGGAATGTTTTCTTTCCTAAGAACGGAAAAAATACTATCATATTAGACTTTGCTATGATGATTGTTTTCGGTTCGAAAAAAAATCTATTGATAACAAAGGCTCAGCTATCTACACCGTCCAGACGCTACGTTTTGTATAACGTTTTATCTGCACAGTTCAACACGTTGCAGACTAAACGTTGTGATCAGTAGTCTGTAACGTAGCGTCTGGACCGGGCTTAAGTCTGTATCATAGAACGTACTGAAGTGAACAAACTCAACGAATGTCAAAGTCATCAAACGAACGACAGCGACAGGTTTTCAAACGGCTGCGGACGGTCGTAAATTCGTCAAGCTGGATCCTATATACCTAGTCGCTTGCCCCTTACTGTATATAAAAAAAACACCCTGTACATGCTGATTTTCATTGAACAATATTAAGGATCCCTTCTTTCTTGGAAATTTTACATACCGACTGCCTCACAATAATGACATGATACGTTTATATTACCTATCAACCTATCTGTGCCTATACGTAAGCATCTATCCTTTCCGATTGCACGCAACTCGAACTTCCCTATGGTGCGACCGCGGTTTGGAACAGCCCGGCTGTCTCGACTTTGCAGGGACTTTGAGGCGTCAGCCGGGTATTTTCTTAGTGGGAATTTCACGCATTTTTTAATGAAGTCAAAAACTTTTAAGTTAAAGGCGCCATTGGGGAGTTTTAACCCGTTTTCGACCCCGGGTGACAACCTTTTTGCAGGGGACGCGAACCGGCTGATGGGTATGAGGAGTCATATTTTTTCATAAATAATCGATCTGAACCGAAATTTTTATTTAAGGTTTAAAGTCAGGCATATAGTTTATTACAGCAACGCGAGATGTCAGTACTGTCGCCCCTATAGTGTGCCCTAACTTGATAGTAAAAAAAAAATTAGAAATCTGCATTTGATTAAATTGTGTGATGGAAAGTTTTTTCTTTTTTTTGCGGAAATTCGAAGTATTATTCTGTTTTACATAAACAGGGTTGTAGTTTGGACCAACACAAATAATTTTGAACGTTCATCCGTCGGATTTTTGTTTAAACAGTGTAGCTACAGGTGTATTTCCAACGATTCTTGCAGTAGCGAGAAAACTACAAGTTCAAAAAATTTGAAAAAAATATATGTCGCGTAGAATTGCAATAGTAGTTCGTAATAAAAATAATGGGAAACTTCATCTATTCGTTTTGAAATAAATGGTGAAAAACCACTTTTTTTTCAGTTTTTGCGATATATCTCAAAAATGGCGAGTCAAATTTGCTTAAAAAAATTATGGATTAAAGTATATCAATAACCATAAAACATATATTTTTTTTGGAATTTTTGAACACAAGGTTCAGAAAAATTAAGACACTGAACGCAGGGAGTGGGGTGTTGTCACCCGGCAGATTATTGAAGGCCTACATATGGCGCATCTATTCCTATAAAGTTTAACTTTTTAAGTTACCGGCTCCTTTTCTTGCGGCAGCTCTTAAACTATTAATAATTTTATGCAAATAATAAGAGAGTCATATAGAAAATGTAGTGTGTAGTGTGTTTGTTATATTAGCTTTGATTTATGTTAAATCTAACATAGCCACTCTTATATTTATCACAAGAACAAATACATATTTTTATATCTATCTATTGTTGAGCACATTGAATGGAAAGCTACTAAGAAATTAAGTATTCTAGTTATTGCTAAATCACCTGCAAAGTTTTTCCAAGTCCCATACAATGAGCCAAAATACACCCAGAACCTGCTGTTTTGGAAGCTCTGTCTAACGATTCAAAACAAGCGTCCCACATAAACTTAATACCAAGTACTTGATGGGGTTTAAGATGCTTCACTAGCTTCTTATGAACACTGAGCAAGGGTTTGTTTGTTTTTTCATCAAAATCTAGCACAACTTTGTCTACTACGGCGTCAGCTTTAAGTTCAAAGATCTTGTTGTACTGGAAAATAAATATTCATTAATTTATTTATTGATTTAAATTCAAAAATGCACAATTACCTTGTTCTGTTTTTCAAGAATTCGGGCTTTACGTGCTTTTTCCTCAGCTTCGGCTTTTAGGGTGGTCTCTGACAAGGAATCTTTGTCAATCATCTAAAAAATTACGACTCATTTAAATCAACTAAACATTATTATTTTGAAAAATTACTTTTCTCAAGGCTTTCCTTGTTGATTTATCTTCTTCATCGCTGCTGCTGCTGTCTTTCAACTTCTTTATGCGTTTTCTTGATTTACTAAAGTAACATAGTTAGATAAAAATCTGCAATCATAATAAATAGTACCTTTGAGTTTCCTCCTCCGATTTTTCATTATCCGAGTTGCTACTAGAAGATGAACTTGAGTTATTTGATTTAGTTGAGTTTAAATTACTATCGGCATTCCTGTCACAGTCTGATGAATCAGAATCAGATATCACCTTTTTCTTTGAGCGTTTTTTTGAATCACTGTAACAGATTATTTTATTTTTTCAAAGTTAAGTATTTCGACTATACGCCTACCTTTTCGATCCTGCCTTTAACTGAGGTGCATCTTCATCACTGCTACTTTCGATTGTCACTTTATTTTTGCCTTTGTCGCTATCATCGGAACTATGAGCATCTTCGTCAGTGTCATTTTTCTCATTGTCCTAATGCATTTTTTTATTAGATAGAGTTAATTTCACTCAGAATATTTTCCAGAAAGAAAAGTACAGTACAAGGGTTAAGTGAATGCAATAAGAACGTAAGATAAAAAAGCAGACCGGTTTAGAACTTAGAACAACCATAATGCCATCACAGCTCTGACTTGCTTCTGGAAATTATTTTGAGAATTTCATACATCTGCCAAAACTGGTATTCCAACAATAAATTGACATGTTTTGATTGTTGATTGGAACCAATCAGCTTGTAATTATGCGATAATTTGCACTAGTGCAAATTATCAGATAATTGCATATAGACCGGTGCATAACGACCATTTTTTCAAAACGATTTTCTCCCGTCTGCCATTAAGGGTGGTTATTCTTTATGCAGTAAGAAGTGGAATGGCTGAAATTTCAAAGAGCCCCGCGTGTGACAATACAATGATATGCTAATTTGAAAATGTAATGAAAAGTGGAGATGTGGATCAATATTATCCCGTCTGCCACACATTGTGAAGGTAATTTTAACAAATATTAGTAGAAGGATGCTAAATGGCGGAAACCCTGGGTTAGTATAAAGTGTCATATTACTAAATTCAAAAATGTCACCAAAATCGGACATGTGGATCAACGACCTCCCGTCTACCAAATTAAATTTATGTTACATTTACGATGTAATACATCAATAAGTAAATGGCAGAAAATCTCGGTTGGTATAATAATATTTAACAATTTTTGAAGTTGTATCAAAATGCTGAGATGTTGAAACAATTTTCTCCCATCTGCCATTTGGAAGATAAGTTTGACATGCAAAGTAAAATCCAAGAAATATTTTGGCAGATGTATCCAAGGCATATTAACAATTGGCAGAAACAATAAAAATGTCAAAATTTTTCAAAGTTGAGATCAATTTTTTCCCGTCTGCCAATAATTTATATTAAATTAGCTACTACTGGAAGCCTAAATTTCGACTGGCAGAAATTGCAGGCTGATACAAGTTCTCATAATTTATGAACAAAATTGGAACAAAAATTGTTCATATCATGAACGTTTTTAACCCGTCTGCCGTTTGTTTCAGTAAAAAGTAGTTATGGGAATATGCATAATCTCAATATGGCAGAAACCTCAATGAGCTACATACGTTGCAGAATTATTGTTAAATTGCTAAAAATGTTTATGTGTCCAAACAATGGGCCTTTTGCACTCAATCAAAATTAGGTATATAATTTATCTGTAACGAAAGTGTATTTTATGTAGGTACTACATAATAGTATGGCTGGTTAATTTTTAAAAAAATCTTGAAGCCAGAAATTGGAAGAAATAAAGCAGATTATTTGAATTTTGTGCCATATTTTTGCAAAATCAAAAATCACTGATTGTCAAATTTCCATGTTCCAAACGATTATTTTTTTTTTCTTTTTTAACACATTGGACAAAAAAGTAGACATATATACAGGGTGACACAAGGAATAGGGAACAACCTATAACTTTTTTAATATACCGGGTGACAATGAAACTACTACCCACGGCGGCATTTCTTAACGGCTCAAGATAGAAATATGCAATTTCGTATGTCGATAGGGTTGAAAATTTTGAACAATTTTAATATAAAAACAATTGAATATCTTTTCCGGTTTCACCGGAAATGGCCTTGACTTTGTTATTTCAAATGGGACACCCTGTATATTATATTTTTTTTGGACTCTCTCAACAATTCTAAATAACTTTTGTATTACATACCCTATGTCAAAAATTGATAGTTTTTTAAATAGAGTGGCTCAAAAATATGTCGTAATCCCTATTTGTTTGTATTTTATGCAAAAACTGAGTATGCCAGAACAAAAAAATCATGGTTATTTGCTCCTTATTCAAAGAGGTATCCGATAAATAATTAAAGAGAAGAATTAATGCAAGTTAAGAAAAACGCGTTTTTCGAAAATGAATGTTTCAGTTTTTGATCGGACCCTGTACGAAACTGGTTCATCTTATGGAAATGAAACTTCCACTACCCAATCCTACTTTTTTATCCTTTATTCAAATATGACAAATTCAACCATCATAGATACCTGCAAAATTAAAAATTTGATAACCCATTTTCAAGTTGTCACTTCACTCATTTAATTACATATACCTACGTACATTACGGCTCTATTTCAAAAACTATCAATTTTTAACATGGGGTATTCATACAAAAGTTATTTAGAATTGTTCAAAGAGTCCAAAAAAAATATAATATACAGGGTGTCCCATTTGAAATAACAAAGTCAAGGCCATTTCTGGTGAAACCGGAAAAGATATTCAATTGTTTTTATGTTAAAATTGTTCACAATTTTCAACCCTATCAACAAACCGAGTTGCATATTTCTATCTCGAGCCGTTAAGAAATGGCGCCATGGGTAGTAGTTTCATTGTCACCCGGTATAAGTTGAAAATTTGAAATTTGGGGAGCTTAATCAAGGCAACTTTTTGAGTTTTTTAGAAGTAAATTGCGTTACCAGTCACTTCCGGTTAAACCAAATTTTCAACTTATATAGGTAGGTATTGAAAAAGTTTTAGACTGTTCCCTATTCCTTGTGTCACTCTGTATATCAAAATCGCTTTGTATATCGACTTTGGTACAGCCCTAGTTTTGACTCGACTAGTATTGACAATTTTCTTTCCTTAATAATTGCGAATTAAACAAAGAAATCGATATCTGTACTAATCCGGCACAGTATAAAGCAGGACGCGCACTGAATCGACTCGGACCGGTCGACTCGGCGAAGAGCAGTCGGCAGTTTTTGATACTCATGCAATTAAATGAGGCTCAGTAAATGTGTTGCACAGTGTTGTCGAACGTCAAAATAATAAATCGGGAGAAACTAACGTTGAGAATCGATAGATTACAGCGCAAAATCGGTAGGTATAACACAACGATAATACACACTACTAAGGATTGCTTATCGGCATCGATTTCGGTAATCGCGGCCATATTGGTGTATCACCATTACGGACGTCATTAACTAAATCGTCAGCTGTTTGCGCCAGCGGTCCTCCTAGTTTAGAATTTAAATTTATGATTAAAAATATTATTTAATTTTGATTAACATAATAGGCAAAGAGGAAGATGCAAACGAGATCTGAACAGGAGTTCTTATTGTTAATAATGTAGTAAGACCAAGTATGGTATGCATAAGGTAAAAGACCGCAGAATCATAACCTGTGATGCAAACAGTGCCTACGTCAAGGCGAGAAACGACGTGCTGCCTACGTCACAACTGGTGATTTGGCGTAGTGGGGGGCTTTAGATTTGTTCTACACAGGTCTTATGAGGATATGCTATCCTGTAGTTGTAGTGTGTATTATCCTTGGGTATAACCAGTGAGTATAACATAAAAACTAAAATCCAGCCGTGCTTTCCTTTAAGCTTTCTATTTCGTTGAGTATGAAAAAGTTCAGTGATTGTTTCCGTGGAAAGTCTATCTCTTTGTACTGTTTTCATTTGATTTATTGCTGAGAATGTGCGCTCAGCACCGGCGGAAAAATGGGGCAATAACAAGATATTAAAAGCAAATTCGGATATCACAGGACCCACAGGTATTCTCCGATGAAAAAATCGGCGAAAACAAAACGGATAAAATTGATTTTTTGGCGAAAAACGGTAAAAAAATCGGTAGAATCGTATTTATTATCGAAAATCGGTAGAAATTCATCAGTATTCGGTATTTCGGTAGGTCCGTTGCCATTTTGGTAGAAATTCCGAAATTTCGGTAGATTTGACAACACTGGGTTGCATCGACACAAAATCCAAGTCTAAACGCAAAACTGGGTTTTTGACATCAGTTTGTCACAACAAATTGATCTCAAAAATCGGGTATTGCGTTAAACATGGAATTGTGTTGGTGCAACATCCCATTAATGTGTGATAGGCATTGAAAAAAAATTATAACGTATGTGAGATTTCAAACATTTGTACATAAGCAGTCATTTTGCCTTTTGATGGGTATTCAGTTGTTTTGATAGAAACTTTACTCAATTAAGTTGGCAGACGGGAGAAAATTGCAATTTAACAAACATATGTGCAACTTATGTAACTTATTGCGGTTTCTGCCATATTGAAATTATGCATATTCTCATAACTACATTTCACTTAACCAAATGGCAGACGGGTTAAAAACGTTCATCATATGAACAATTTTTGTCGCAATTTTGTTCATTGTTTATTAGGACTTGTACCAGCCTGCAATTTCTGCCAGTCAAAACTTAGGCTTTTGGTAGCAACTTATTTAATATAAATTAATGGCAGACGGGAAATAATTGATCTCAACTTTGAAAAATTTTGACATTTTGAAAAATTAAAAATAAATATTTGTACCACTTCAATTTTTCTGCTGGTGCAAAGGTACATTATTTATCTAAAATCCATTGCAACAAAACATGTTTTAGGCGGGAGAAAATTGTTTCAACATCTCAGCATTTTGATACAACTTCAAAAATTGTTAAATATTATTATACCAACCGAGATTTTCTGCCATTTACTAATTGATGTATTACATCGTAAATGTAACATAATTTTAATTTGGCAGACGAGAGGTCGTTGATCCACATGTCCGATTTTGGCGACATTTTAAAATTAGTAATATGACACATTATACTAACCTAGGGTTTCCGCCGTTTAGCTTCTTTGTACTCATTTTTGTTAAAATTACCTTTACAATGTGTGGCAGACGGGATAATATTGATCCACATCTCCACTTTCCATTACATTTTCAAATTAGCATATCATTGTATTGTCACACGCGGGGCTCTTTGAAATTTCAGCCATTCCACTTCTTATTGCATAAAGAATAACCACCCTTAATGGCAGACGGGAGAAAATCGTTTCAAAAAAATGGTCGTTATGCACCGGTCTAATACTAACTGGTGCGAAAACTGGCGTTTTGACATTTTTTGACAAAAAATTTAAATTTTTGATTTATGAAATTCTCTCATTAAATACAACTCGTGCAATGGAAATATATTTATAATTTTCGACAAATTTGCACTCATGTGCACTACGTGCACTCGTGCTCTTTTTCAACTAAAAATGCATTCGGGCAAATTTCCCAAAAATTATCAATAATTTCCATTGCACTAGTTATATTACTATTGATTATATTTGTCACAACAACAAAAACAACAACAACAACAACAACAACAACAACAATAACAAAAACACCCTAATTGTTAACCTTTTTATTGCTCTTCTTTTTTCGATCCATTTCTTCTTCTTCACTGCTACTGCTGTCAATTTTACTCTAAACATAATTGATCTTTAGCTTATAACAAACTGCATTATTTCAAATTTGGTTTCAATATACATCACCAACAATAGAAAACACTAACAGAAAAGAAAACAACGAAAAAAGGAAAACACAAAGAAAAGACTAAATCTAGAAAATTCAAAATAAAAAAAGAAAAAAAAAAAGCAAAATGATCCTATAAGTAGGTTAAATGCAATGGTGCACCATAGAAAAAAGCTCTAGTAAAACTATTGCATCCATTTATTCATTTTCAATCCATATATTTTTCGGTTGTGTTGTTATGTGATTTGGATTTTATTTCTAAATACAGTAATTTGAATTTCAGTAGGAAAAATCTGATATGGAAGAAAGCAAAAAGTTGAAACATGTTTACCTTCATCTTTTTTTTGGTTTTCTTCTTTTTCCTAGATTCTTCTTCTTCTGGGCTATCCTCATCATTTTTGCTCTACAAGGATCAAGTTTTAAATTGTATCACAATCACAAATTTCAATATGTTTACCTTCTCAATCTTTTCATTTGCCTCTTTGTCTTTATCTGATTCTTCATCACTACCCGAGAGCATTCCATTTACTTTAGTTTCTTCATCCTAAAAAAAAAAACAATTAAATCTAAAATCTTACAAAATAGAAATCAAAATTCACTTTTTCCTTCGCTTGCTCCTTATCAGATGATTTATCATTATTCTTATCCTTCTCAGAAGTCTCTTCATCACTTTCCGCTGCTTCCTTGCTCGTACTCATCTCCTCATCAGAGTCTTTAATTTGATCCTGAAATCGCCATTTGTAAAATTAAACTGACATTTTTTGATATTAATAATTATCACTTACCAAACAGGTTGCCAAACCATCCATTTCTGCAGCATTTTGAGATATTTCCCTAGCGTTTTGAGATTCACTATCCCTCACTAAATCCAGCATATCCACGTCGTCATCCTTTTCAACATTATCATTATCCTCCGTACTAGACTGTTCATCGTCACTATTGTTTTTTTCTTTTTCCAAATTCTTCTTGCCAATTTTCAATGTTAATTTGATTCTTTTTTCTTGCGCATCATCGGTTGAAGTTTCTTCTTCCTCGATTTCCTTCTGTTTACGATTAGTCGATAAGTTTATTTTACACAACTTTTTGATTTCCAATATTTCTTTCTTATTTTTGTAAAGTTCTTGAAGATCTTCGGTGGGAAATTTTGGCAAACGAATAAAAACTGGTAATTTGAATTTCGGATCATTAATATTGGCTTCTTTTATTTCTGCTTTCTTAGACCTTGAAGACCAGGTGCGCTTTTTAGAAGATTTCTCTACGAGTTCGACATCAGAATCATCATCATCATCTTCCGATAAGCTGCTTTCTTCGAGCAGCTCTTTCTTCTTTCTCCCTAGATTTCTCTTACTTCTTCTTGCATCTTTTGCAGATTCTTTCAATTTCTCTTCTCGTGCTTTCCTTAATTTAGTAAATTTGCTTTTCACATCCCGATTGCGCCCTTGAAGTCTCCTACTCCTTCTACTGTCTTCGTTTTCGGATTCGTCTGAGTATAATTTCTTCCTCTTTTTCTTAACATCGTTTTCCTTTGAATCTGAATCGCTCAATTCAATAATCTTCGACTTTGAGGTTGTTTTTCTTAGAGCACTTTTTAATGGTGTAACATCATTTTCTTTTCCAATGGGACTCTTTTTTGGGGTATCCTCGTCGGAGCTCGACAAAATAATGACAGAACTGTCAAATGTTACAGATTTCTGGTGCTTAGAAGGGGTGGGAGTCATTACCAATGGTTTTGCATTAGGATCTAACAATTTGCTTATGTCTATTAATTTAATTTTTGGCATTGAAAAATTTTGTATCTCTTTGTTACTCTTTCCACTTTCTACTAAATTTTTTTCAGGTTCTTCAATATCAGTGTGTACTTTTTCTGGTTCTTCGTCTGTGTTATTCTTTGTTTTTTTGATACTATTGTTCGAATCGTCTGATTTTTTATCCTTGTTCTTCTTTTTTTTATTTGCCTTTGACTTGCCCATATCAAGGTCTGGTTCTTCTTCTTGCTTATTTTGTTCCACTTCATCTTTATTTTTCTCGGAATCACTGTCTGATTCTTCTTCTTCTCTGTCTTCGTTTATCTTTGATTTGCCCGAGTCCCTGATGGTCGAATTTTCCTCTTCTTTATCTTCATCTAATTTTTTCTCTGAGTCACTCATGTTGGAGTCATCCTTATCTCGTTTCTCTCCAGTATCAATACTTGAATCCTCTTCATTATCATCAGCTGAAGTTTGATTTTTATGTTCATGTATCTTAGAATGTTCTCCACTCGGTTCCTCAATAGCTCGTTCTACATTGTCGTCCAAGTCAGTTCCCATACTGCTTTCAATGATTTCGTGCACAGTTTTATCCTGACTTTTTCTCAAAGTCATTAACAACTTTTTATTATGGGACTTGTCTGGTGTTGATTCAACTATTGATTCATCACTTATCGATTTTTCATTCTCAGTTGGTTGTTCTGATTCTTTGTTAATTTTCGCGAGAGGTTCGTCTTCTGAGTTTTCACCATTAGTCTGAAAAAAAAAAGTTTTTACAAATAACTTTAATAATAATTATAATACTTCTTAATAAACCGTTGAATAACTTATACAAAGAAAAAGGAATTTCTTACACAAACATATATTTAGACAAGCTATGTTTTAAAAATATTCAGTATTTTTGGCACAGCAGCCCCAGAAGCAGATACAATACTCTAATTTGTGGCCAATAAGCATAGATACCCAGAAACTTATTCACATTTTCTTGGATTTCATGGATTTGTAAATTTGTGTAGTTTTTACAGAAGTTTTCTGCCTTATTCGATTGGTATAAAATTAAGAAAAAATAACCATGTTAACACAATATGTACTAGACACCACAAGCCAACAATGGACTATATACTACACATAACTGGAACGGACCTAACAGCTGCTTTCAATGTCCATTTTTGAGGCAAATTTTATGGTAGTGAGAAACACGATCAAAGGGGTTGTTTGCTCTGTCACACGCGTATATGTTTACGAGGAATGGTGGTGTATAATAAATCCACCTGGTCCGCCTACAGTAATGCGTAAGACAAAGATGGCCACACGTTTTACTCCATTAAAAATTTGCCTCAGGCGTGATAAATGCTGGTGCCATACCATTTACGTAGTATACATTTCATTGCAGGCCCAGAAGGCTAAATCCACCCACCTTATGTCAGACTCGATGTCAGATAGATCGAGATTCTGATTGGTGACATGAATATTCACATTAACATTAACATTTCTAATAAGGAAGGCATAGTGCAGCAAAATGTATTTATAATTCAAAATGATGTCCTAATGATAACTTTAACATGTAAGAATGTAATATAATTATATAAGAAAAAAGCAAGCCAGGTGTCTAGAGTCTAATAGTCTACAGTAACTGCAAAGTTTCATTGTTGAATATTTGAGAATCTGATTGAGGGGGACAGCTGGAAAGGGGTTATGGAAAGAAGTATCTCTGGGAATGCAGCACAATATTTTACTCGATATTTTACTAACAAAATTGGAATGTTTTTAGAAAAAGCCACAGCTCAGAAAACAGTTTACTTTACAGAGTATAGGAAGCTTAAGCCTTAGATTACCACTGGTCTTATCATAGCATTTCAAAGGCGTGATTAAATGAAAAAGCTTCCTGTAAATAACAACAGTCCAGAAAATAGAAATTATTACACTTTCAGAAATAATTTGAATAAAATCATTCAATAACAAAAACGTTACTCTCGAATTTCGGCTTCAAACCAAAGAATAATTTTATGTATAGAGTTTAGGTTATTCCAAATGATCATTTAGGGCCGATTTATTCACCTACTGATAAACTGCCAGATATGCAATATGATGGATGAAAACGCAATCAGTAATCCCATTGGTAGGCCAGTTATCCGTCGACCAATAGAATTATAGAACGATAAACTCGACGGTAAATTTATCTTGCAGATATTTACCGGCGAATTTATCTGAACATAAAAAAACTGGGCGTAAAACACAAAATCTCCACAAGAAAAAAAAAATGAAAACTTTTTTTCTATCACAAACTAGTGACAGTTTCTCTATAATGGAAAACTTTATGTCTATCAACTTAGCGAGACAACTTCGAAAAATCGATTTTCCATTATGCCAAGAATTTGCCGCTTTTTTGCCGCTAATTAAATGTGGAATTAAAAAATTTGCCGCTCTTTTGGTTTTTTCTTAATTACGTGTTTTGCTAACTTGACGTCAAGATAGCGAGACAACATCACTAAATATGTCGGCAGTAAAAAATTAGGTAGGTGAAAATTTGCCGTTTTTTTGCCGCTAATTAGTTGTGAAAACCAAAAATTTGCCGGTTCTTTTTTTTTCATAAAAAATCAAGTTTGAAAAAAAAATCATTTGTCTCGCTAACTTGACATCAAGTTAGCGAGACATTATCACTAAAAATGTCGGTAGTGAAAAATTGAATGAATGGAAATTTGCCGTTTTTTTGCCGCTAATTAGTTGTGAAAACCAAAAATTTGCCGCTTTTTTTTTTTACAAAAAAATCAAGTTTGAAAAAAAAAATGTGTTTCGCTAACTTGACGTCAAATTAGCGAGACAACATCACTAAATATATCAGCAGTAAAAAATTAGGTAGGAGAAAATTTGCCGTTTTTTTGCCGCTAATTAGTTGTGAAAACCAAAAATTTGCCGGTTCTTTTTTTTCTCATAAAAAATCAAGTTTGAAAAAAAAAATCATTTGTCTCGCTAACTTGACATCAAGTTAGCGAGACATTATCACTAAAAATGTCGGTAGTGAAAAATTGAGTGAATGGAAATTTGCCGTTTTTTTGCCGCTAATTAGTTGTGAAAACCAAAAATTTGCCGCTTTTTTTTTTACAAAAAAATCAAGTTTGAAAAAAAAAAAAAAATGTGTTTCGCTAACTTGACGTCAAGTTAGCGAGACAACATCACTAAATATGTCAGCAGTAAAAAATTAGGTAGGTGAAAATTTGCCGTTTTTTTGCCGCTTATTAGTTGTGAAAACCAAAAATTTGCCGGTTCTTTTTTTTTTCATAAAAAATCAAGTTTGAAAAAAAAAAACATTTGTCTCGCTAACTTGACATCAAGTTAGCTAGACATTATCACTAAAAATGTCGGTAGTGAAAAATTGAATGAATGGAAATTTGCCGTTTTTTTGCCGCTAATTAGTTGTGAAAACCAAAAATTTGCCGCTTTTTTTTTTACAAAAAAATTAAGTTTGAAAAAAAAAATGTGTTTCGCTAACTTGACGTCAAGTTAGCGAGACAACATCACTAAATATGTCAGCAGTAAAAAATTAGGTAGTTGAAAATTTGCCGTTTTTTTGCCGCTAATTAGTTGTGAAAACCAAAAATTTGCCGCTTTTTTTTTTACAAAAAAATCAAGTTTGAAAAAAAAAAAAAATGTGTTTCGCTAACTTGACGTCAAGTTAGCGAGACAACATCACTAAATATGTCAGCAGTAAAAAATTAGGTAGGTGAAAATTTGCCGTTTTTTTGCCGCTTATTAGTTGTGAAAACCAAAAATTTGCCGGTTCTTTTTTTTTTCATAAAAAATCAAGTTTGAAAAAAAAAAACATTTGTCTCGCTAACTTGACATCAAGTTAGCTAGACATTATCACTAAAAATGTCGGTAGTGAAAAATTGAATGAATGGAAATTTGCCGTTTTTTTGCCGCTAATTAGTTGTGAAAACCAAAAATTTGCCGCTTTTTTTTTTACAAAAAAATTAAGTTTGAAAAAAAAAATGTGTTTCGCTAACTTGACGTCAAGTTAGCGAGACAACATCACTAAATATGTCAGCAGTAAAAAATTAGGTAGTTGAAAATTTGCCGTTTTTTTGCCGCTAATTAGTTGTGAAAACCAAAAATTTGCCGCTTTTTTTTTTTACAAAAAAACCAAGTTTGAAAAAAAAAAAAAAAATGTGTTTCGCTAACTTGACGTCAAGTTAGCGAGACAATATCACTAAAAATGTCGGTAGTGATAAGTTGAGTGAGTGAAAATTTGCCGTTTTTTTGGCGCTAATTAGATGTGAAAACTAAAGATTTGCCGCTACCTTTCTTTTCATAAGAAAATCGTGTTCGAAAATAAAATATAGTTTTGCTAATTTAACGTAAAGTTAGCGAGATCACTAAAAATGTCGGTAGTGATAAATTGAGTGAGTGGAAATTTGCCGCTAAATAGCTCTTTTTCTAGAAGAAAATATCGCGTTTAAAAAAATATAATGTGTTTCGCTAACTTGACATCAAGTAAGCAAAACAGTATCATTAAAAATGTCGGTAGAGAAAAATTGAGTGGTAGAGAAAAACTGTGGAAATTTGCCGCTTTTTGTTGCTAGTTAAATGTGAAAACCCAAAAATTTGCCGCTCTTTTTCTCCATGAAAAAATCGTGTCTGAAAAAAACTTCGTGTTTCGCAAGCTTGCCGTTAAGTTAGACCGACATCATCACAAAAAACGAAGAGCAATATAAAATTAGGTGAGTAAAAGGGGTTCCGTTATTAATGATCGCCCACCCTTAATTTTCATGCACCCTGTATATTTTAATTAGTGAAACTCAAAATTTGTTGGAACAAATATTTGTTTCTAAATTTTTTGAGAATAGTTTTTCAGTTTTTTTCTTTAGCTTGGGAAAACTCTATTGGAGGCCTTATAGGTTTCAAAAATCAAAAAACGAAATATCGTGTGCTCATTTATACAGAAAATAAAATAAAATTATAAATAAAATTAAACTAAAAGTGTCCATGGTGTCGTTTATACAAAAAAAAATAAGAAAAGAAATAAGAATAAATCCAAAGTTGGTTTATCTTTTCTTCGTGTAAACCAATAATTCCGGAAGCAAGGTTCCACCTTTTCTCATCATTATCGCGTTAGGTCTTTGATCATCGAAAACAATCCAGTTTTTGTTTCTTCTGACTACCGCAGTATAATGACCAATTGAAGTTGATCGCCTAGTCATTGTTGTAAGTCCCTTATAGTTAACAACTCCCAAAATCCGATAATCATCCCCTGTTTTCGGACATTTGAATAGTTGTGGAATTAATTCGATGTCGACCCTCCGTTCTGTGTCAACTCCTATGATGACGAGATCTCCTGAAGAAAAAATGATGGACATGTAGGGTGGGCAAATTGCGGTAATTTAATTGGGTTTATAGAAAACTAGCCGAGTTATCAAAAATCTTGGAGAACATTCTCGAGCTCCTTTTCCGAGAAAATAACAATGGCGGTAACAAATCACAGTTATCTTGATGCGTTTAGGAAATAAACGATATTTGAAAAAAATCTGGTCATGTCGCCGAATTCTGAAAAGCTGTTTTTCGAAATTTTATTGATTTTCGTTTTCTTGAATTATAAAGAAATAACAGGGTCTTTTAAAATTGCGGAAAATTGAGAATCGCTTCGTATTTCCTAAATGCATCAAGATAGCCTTGACCTATTCACGTCCTTGTTATTTTCTCGAAAAAAGAGCTTGAGAACGCGCTCCCAGATTTTTGTAAACTCTGCTAGTTTCCGATAT